CAGGAATTCATAAAGACACATCAGACTATGATCATTCACAAAAGGAAGGATGGTCCCATCTGCCAGTTGTAAGTAGGGGCCTTTCTGACTCTAACATTCCCTTAGGTGCTACTACCCCATTACCTGAGGGAAACTGGCCAGTTCTTTAATCACCTAAACATTAGAGCCACCGGGCCACATCCCACTCTAAGAGAATCCGATGCTTGATCCTGTACCCTCCCTAAAACATGCAAATGCAGACCCAGCACTCAGAGCAGCTGTATGGAGCCCATCTAGGCATTACAGCTCTGTCTGGCCAATGACCCTGTGCACACTGCCCACCACCGTCTCCCAGCTCGGCACAGCATCCGTCCGTTCCATAGTCTGCCCTCTCGTACCTGCTGGGGTTGGCACAGCACAAACACACCACAAGCGGTCAGATTCATCACGCTTCTTACCGCGGGGGGTAAATGTAGTCACATATTACCAAGTCAAGGAGCAAATTACGGTTTATCAGTCCAGTTTTTACTTAATGATGCTATTCCAGCCGACTGGAAAACATTTTGGTTTGTGATATATGCCTTGACTTAATTGAGCCTGCTTGTTTTAAACCAAATCATTGGAACAGGAAAGGATTTAGAAGAGAAGGATGCATGATCTAAGTGGGATACAAAATAATCAGTGAAACTTACCCTAGAAGTGCTTTTCAGGACCACCGCTCTTGTAGTTCTTGACGTTCTGCTCTGCCAGAAGACGCTGTATTGTTACAAGAAAGAAAGTGCGCGCAAAGGAGCAAGTTGCTGAAAATCAACGAAGAGGTTGGGAAGTGTCCTTGTAGATTTCATTGTAAAATGTGCATTGCTTAGGAGATGACAGACTTGAGCAAAGTGGTGACATTTCACGTTTTCCAAACCAAAATGTTCAATCTGTATTACTCTCTTTCCCACATTGTATATACAGGCTATTTTAAAATCATTAAAATTTTAGATGTCTGTTTTCATAGGCATTGGGTTTTCTTTTTCTATCTTTCTTGTCTCAAAATTAAATATTAGCTTATTTTGGCACTCCTAATATAGAAAGTTAAATTATGGTGATTTTATCAATATTATAGATCTGGATTTTTGAGTAAAATTGAGTGCTATTTTTTCATTTTGCATCATTTAAAGAAAATTCTGGAATTTGTGAACATTACCAAACCCAAATATCTGGAACAAAGCTGCTCTTCACCAGAAAGCCTAAATGATGGGTGGAATGATTTCTGCTATCATAATATGGATGTTACTATTCACATGGTTTTAGAATCAAAGGGAATTGCTCGATTCGTTCTGGAATGGACATCAATAAATATTTAAAAGAAAACTATATTTGATGAAAATAAGAGATTCGTAACCACATAAATTATTTTTAATGCTTGGCCCACTCTTTCACTCTGGTATCCTACTGCGAGTTACAGATAAAGTATCTGAATATACCTTGCATATACCTTTCTCCCACATCTATAAACATTTTCAAAGAAACTGTCAAGGCACTTCTTGGGAAATGGAAAGTCCTTTGAAAAAATGGCACTAGAACAACTAGATCTCTCCATGGAAAAAGAATGAATATTTACCTTACATCTTACAGAAAAATTAACTCACATGGATCATAGCCCTAAATGTGAAACTAAAAACTCTCCTACTTCTAGAAGAAAACACAGGGGAAAAATCTTTGTGATCTTAGGAAGACAAGGGTTCCTTAGGTAGAACAAAAAAGCATAAATAATAAAAAAATTGATAAATTGGACTTTATCAAAATTTAAAACTTTTCTAAGACCATTAAGAAAACAAAAAGTTAACCAACAAACCAGGAGAAAATATTTGTACCACATACCTCAGCTAAGGACATGTATCAGAATAAGGAAACAAATAACTAAATTTTTTTTTAAATTTATTTATTTTTCACTGTGTTGGGTCTTCATTGCTGCGTGGACTTCTCATTGGAGCGGCTTCTCTTGTTGCGGAGCACGGGCTGTAGGCGCGCAGGCTCAGTAGTTGTGGCACATGGGCTCAGTAGTTGTGGTGCACGGGCTCTAGAGCACAGGCTCAGTAGTTGTGGTGCACGGGCTTAGTTGCTCCGCAGCACGTGGGATCTTCCCAGACCAGGGCTCGAACCCATGTCCCCTGAGTTGGTAGACGGATTCTTAACCACTGTGCCACCAGGGAAGTCCCAATAACTAAATTTTTTAACGGGCAAAAATTTTGAACAGAAACCTCACAAAAGAAGACATGTGAGGGGACTTCCCTGGTGGTGCAGTGGATAAGAGTCCACCTGCTAATGCAGGGATCACGGGTTCAATCCCTGGTCCTGGAAGATCCCACATGCCGTGGAGCAACTAAGCCCGTGCGCCACAACTACTGAGCCTGTGCTCTAGAGCCCACGAGACACAACTACTAAGCCCATGAGCCACAACTACTGAGCCCACGCACTGCAGCTACTGAAGCCCACACCCCTAGAGCCAGTGCCCCGCAAGAAGAGAAGCCACCACAATGAGAAGCCCGCACACCGCAACAAAGAGTAGCCCACGCTCACTGCAACTAGAGAAAGCCTGCGTGCAGCAACGAAGAACCAACACAGGCAAAGAATACATAAAATTTTAAAAAAAATAAAATAAAATAAACAGGTAAAATTAAAAAAAAAAAACATGTGAATAGACAATAAGTAAATGAAATACAAACCCACCAAATAGAATCATTAAAGTTAAAAAGATAAGCCATACCAAATGTTGATGAGAAAGGGGAGCAAACAGAGCTCTCATACACTGCAGGGGAGAAAGCAAAACAGTACAAACACTTTGGAAAATAGGTTGGCAGTTTAAAAAAAAAAATTAAATGTATGCCTACCATAGGACCTAGGAATTCATCTCCTAGATATTTACCCAAGAGAAATAAAAGCATATGTCCATATAAGACTTGCATAAGAATGTTTATGGCAGCTCTATTTGTAATAGCCAAAAGCTAGAAACAACCCAAATGTCTATGTGAATGAATAACCATTGTTACATATCCACACAATGGAATACTATACAGAAACAAAAAGGGGGAAAAAAAGTGAAACAAAAAGCAACATGAATGAACCTCCAAATCATTATGATGTGTACAAGCTAGACGAAAAAGAGGACATATAGTATGTTCCATTTATACCGAATTCTAGAAAATGCAAACCACAGTGACAGACAACAGATCAGTGGTTGCCAGGGAAGAGTAGTGGGGGGAGGAGTACATTACCAAGGAGCTCAGGAAGTCTTTGGGGAAGATGATGAAAATGCTCCTTTTCTTTTTTTTCTTTCTTTCTTTTTTTTTTAAAATCACGGCCGCTCTTGTTGCAGAGCACAGGCTCCAGACGCGCAGGCTCAGTAGCTGTGGCTCACGGGCCCAGCTGCTCCGTGCCATGTAGGATCCTCCCAGACCAGGGCTTGAACCCGTGTCCCCTGCATTAGCAGGCAGATTCTCAACCACTGCGCCACCAGGGAAGCCCGCCCATTTTCTTGATTGTGGTGATGGTTCCACGGGTATATGCATGTCAAAACTCATCAAATTGTACACTTGAAATGCATACAGTTTATTCTTTGTCAATTATTAATTTTTTACGTAAATAGTCTAAACAGGACAATTAAAAGTCAGAGATTCTCAGACTGGATTATTTTTTAAAAGCAAGACTAAATTATATGCTATTTAAAAGATGCCCAATTTAAGTAAAAATAGATAAGTTAAAAGCAAAGAGAGAGAAATATACCATGCACATTCTAATTTTTAAAAAGAAAAGCTGGAGTGACCATATCAGCTGACAAAGTAGAATTCAGAACTTGGACAAAAAGGGGCATGTCATCGTGAAAGGGTCAGTTCATAAAGAAGACAAAACATTCTTAAATTCGAATGTACCTAGTCATAAGGTTCAAAATATTATGAAGCAAAAACTGATAGAACTGAAAGGAGAAACGGAAAATCTGTAATTACAGGTGGAGATTTAGATACTATCTCTCAGTACTTAATAGAACAAGTAAACAGAAAATGGTGGTAATTGGTAGTAATTGGAGTCTCTGGAACTCCCCTACATTGCTGGTAGGAATGTAAAGTGGTACAACCCTTTTGGAAGACAGTTTGGCAATTTCTTATAAAGTTAAGTATACACTTATTATATAACCCAG